CAGTTAATCATTGAAAAAGTCTTACCTAATCTGGTAATAGTAAAATCGGACCAGACCAATTAATCAACTTCAATCAGATCTGCCTTGTTACATTTCACCTTACAGTAACACAGGCCCTTCTTTTTTCTACAAATGAGTACATCTTGCGGTTTTCTTCTGCTTTTTGTGTCTTACATTCTCCGTTAGCTGGTCTAATTATTTAATTAGCTCCATTACTGTACTGTTTCTAACCAGGCTCCAATGTGATTGAATGCTAACTGTACCTGAAGTGAATGTCTTGTGTAATCACCAGTAAATGACCTTAAGAAAAATCCTACATAGGTCTAATTTAGAAAGCAATTAGGTTGTTTAATTGCCTGCTAGGGCTGGAACACAAACCAACAGACACATGGCCCTCCAGGAACTGAGTCCGAGACCCCTGCTGTAAATTCTTAAGATCAGACTGTACTGTTCCACTGTTCTACACACAGAGAGCTCCCAGCAGTGTGTGTGTGAGAGTGTGTAAAAACTATGCACATAAACAGCAGTAGATGCTTTAGTACAGAAGCCAAGGACCTGAAAACCCTTCAATATTTTCAGATATAGTAACTGCAACGTGTTTGACTAGCTTTCTCACAGGACATAGTACAGATCCATTAAACCACGACTGCACGAGCCAAATGAAACCAAGCTGTGTGAATTTAAGCGACGATTATGGATACGTCATTAAAGTGATTTCATTTTTACAAAAGAGCACAGAGTAAAATAGCATTATGACAAAATGTGAAGAGGACCTCAAATTCAGCTGATCTCCTTCAGATGAATGTACTGTAGGTCCCAAGAGAGAACTGTGAACCACTGAAAAAATAATCTACTGTAAGAGACTGACAGATAAGCAAGAAAACCATTACAGCCTGTATTCCTGAAATTATTCTTTAATTTTTTTATTCTCTCTTAATCATGGATTAGTCATTTTGTCTGCCCTTCAGAAAAGAGAGACATACATTCATTACCCAGACATAAAAATACTGACAGCTCCTAGTCCATGCCACAATCTGTAAAGATCAACCCAACTTTACACATGCGCAGCCCCAGAACTACTAAAGCAGACGGACATAACCTTTGACTCCTATATCTTCACTGGTATTCTAGCTTTGCTATTTACTTATACAGGTTTCATATGCAGTAAAAGAATGTAAAAAAGGCCCATATTTTTTTTTTATCCCTTTTCAGATTTTGGACCTCATCAGTATTTTTGATATATATGTATGTCTGTTATTTTCCTTTTTCTTGTTCCAATTTCTGAAGATGCATCTTTCCAGCTAACTTCGGTTTGGTTTTACTTACAAGAAAAGGCTATTTTCTTAAGTTTAACTGCCGTGTACACTCATCAAGTCTGACCCGATAATACACTCCTATTAAAGCAACCCTGCATTTTTATGCAATATGTCTATGAAGCAAAAATGTTTCAATCCAGCCCATCCAGTAAAAAGTCAAAAAAAATTTACACCATTCCCTTGCTCTGCCTGTCAAAGTAACCTATGCTGAACGGTGAAAATGAAAGGTATTTATCATTAAACATACGTTCTTCACGTAAAATATATTTCCCCAAGAAAAGTTTTTCTTATCAGAAGTATCTGAACACCCGATCAGACTAGTTATGGGATGTGAATCC